GAAAACTGGGGATTGCATCTAATACTGTACCTGGTACAGTATTTATACAATAGTAGTATACAGAAAACTACTATTGCATCTAATACTGTACCTGGTACAGTATTTTTAAAAATATATGCTGATAATGTAATTTGCATAGGTAATGATTCTATTGTAACAGATGGTATAGGTATTAATAATACAGCTTTAGCTTGTGATTTAGTATTTGAACCACTTGGTGGACCCTATTATGCAAACTCTTTACAAGGATGCAATGTATCCAGTAATACTGGATTAGGAGGATATTTTACATTCGATCTTCCCTTTACATCAAGTTTTTATATACAAATATACAATAAAACAGGCAATTCAGTGACCTTTTGGTTACAACCTTTTATCACAAAAACTTCATCGTTACAACAAACATTAACTACTATTAATCCGCTAATACCTCGATCCATCTCACCCATTAAGTTGTACTCATCAACATTTAGATATCTAAATACAACTTATGGAAATGAATATATGTTGATGAACGCAATAGATAATGGAAACGGTATTTATTTAAAATATTTTAGAATGCATGTTGTTGGAGGATCTGGAAACTGGTGGGAATCAAGAGTACATATATACGATGGATATGGATCCCCTACAAATACTAATTCAGTTATTCAACCTAGGACACCCTACAATAATAATGGATATACTACATTTTCTGGATATGATGTTAACAGTCGTTGTATCTACGTTTCATCAGGTTTAGAAGATTTTTATCTCTCTTCATGGGATGGCTCAAATGTAAACTCATTTAATAATACATCATCAGGATTACTTTATCAATCAAGTAGTATAATTGGTCCAACAACCACGATTTCATTTATAGAAACTTTGATCAATCTGAAGGTATGCCTAGCGTTGGTAGTGGTAGAAGAATTGTAGTGACACTAAACTCTGGTGATGCACAAGTTGAACAATCTGGAAGCTTTTCTGCATTAATAGGACAATGCTACTATTATGCTTAAAAAATTGACGCATGCGCACTGAAAATAAAAACATATAATAAAAATTTTTCTGAAATGAGATAAATAATTTTCTTAATATAATATAAAAATGATAGATGACGAAGATTTAATTAAGTAAGCGCAAAAGATATAAAGTGACAAATGATAAAAAAGATTGAAAAGATAGAAAAGAAGAAAAAAGAAATAGAAGGAATGCAAGTAAGCATAAAAGAAGTAAAAAATATCGAAAATAATATTCAAAAAGAAAATTAAAAAATTAAAAAGATAGTAAATATGGTAGAGACAATGAAAATAAGTATAGAAACGATGAAAAATATTAAAGTAACAACACGAGAAATATTAAAATATATGGAAGAAGAGATAATAATAGTAAATAGAATTAAATATAAAATAAAAGAAATAGAAGATAAGAAAGAAATAGAGAAAATGAAAATAATCGCAAATGAGATTAAAAAATATATAATATATCCTATAATAGATAAATAAGTTATTTCATTCGAGCTGAAAAGAAAATAAATTTATTTGAAATGAATTAAATAAATTTCTTATCATAATAAAAAATGGATTCACTTCTTTCGAAATTACATAATAAAAATAAAGATTTAACAGAACAACAAAGATTAGATAATTATATAATATATTTAGAGAGATTGAGAGAACGTCACAGTTGAATTTGAAAATAGGAATAATTTAAAATATCAAAAAAAATCCAGCGCATGCACACAAGAAAATATGCGACGACAAGAAATATTTAGAGAGATTGAGATGAAGTTACATAATTGAATTTGAAAATAAGAATAATTTAAAATATCAAGAAAATTCCGCGACGACAAGAAACAAAATTATCGCTAATTTGAACACTAATTTTTAAACTTTTAAATCAATTTTTAAAAAAAAATGATTTAAAAATTGATTTCTTAATTATTCAATTTATACACGCTATGGATGAAAATGAACCATATATTTAATTAAATATATGGTTGAATAGATGGTTGAAAATGAAAATGAGGCAGAACTAGCAATACTCTTGCAATACATGCTTGAAACTAACCTGCAATAAAATTAAATATATTGTTGAAAATATGGTCAAAAATAAAAATGAGCCAGAATCTGCAGTTTATATCTACTGGTGCCTTCACCGCAATACTAGATCTATGTCATGGTTTCACATATACAACCGCAATAAATAAACAAGTATCTTATGCTCGTTTATCTTTGGCACTAACTTTAAATTAACTTGTGCTTGTTTATCTGTGGCGCTAACTGGGATTACAACAAACATATTTTTAAAGATTAAATAGCTCTAGCCATTCACCTGGCTTGATGCATCGTCCCAGGGCATATAACTTTTATTAATTTTTTTCTCATTATCTTCTGAAAAAAAATAAAAGGTAGTTCAATCAGTTACCGATAATCGTCATATACAATGGCTTTTTGTAGTTCTTCATTTTCAACAATTCTTCTATTGTTGTATTACAAAAATGTTATATGATATTTAAAATGCTTCTAACTTTACAGATCATTTTGGAACTTTCCAAAGCAAGTACTCAAGTTTTAGTCTCCAGTTTAAAATGTTCACTTAGAGCAAATTGCATAACTAAAAATGCATTTGGGAAACTACATGAACTTCAGTCACATTAAATTTTTTTATTTTGCAGAATTATTTGAATTTAAAAAAATCAAGGGTAAAAATTAATTGCAACTTGGTTTATGTTTAAAATACAAGCGATTTGTAACAAATAAAAGAAATCTAAACCCTTTTAAAGCATTTGTTAATATAGCTGTAGACAAAAGTGGAGGTTTTTTTGAAGTTGTATAAACATACTTTCAAAAAACTATATTGAACTATATCGATATTATTGATAAATATCAAGATAGTGTAGTTCAATATTTACAGATTTTAGCTATAGTTGAGGATATTCCTAAATCTAACTGGAATTTAGGATAAGTCATATTAAAACTCAAGTTGGAAGAAGTAAAATTTTATATGGCTTTTGACTTCAAATGTACAAATGCTGTATTGGATTTGTCTTCACACTCTGAAAAGTATGTTTGTATTGTACAGGATTATGCTCTTTGACATCTGGAGATCTTAGAACATTTGGAAATCTTGACTACTGGGCTGATAAATATAATGATGGATTTCCAACAAAAAAAAATGTCAAATTATACCAATGTGAAAAGATTGATTTATTTATATGAGAATCCTGAAACATTTATTATTCATAAGATTGCTTTACCAGAATTGCACTTGATGATAAGAGCAGTTGAAGATTAAGGCAAAGTTTTATTATTTATTTATGATCCCGGATTTAAAATCTGGCTGTCTTTATATCATATTATTTTTCAAGGATACCATGGAGTTAAATGGGATAAAAACAACTCAAACAAAATACTTGAAAAAATAGATTGTCTTGAACAAGCTGTAGAAAAAATAAAAGAAATCTCAAAATACCACTTGATAAAAGATGCAGCTTTTGGAAAACATTTTTGAGTTTGAAACAATTATCAACAACTTTGCTGACATTTTTAAATCTATACAAAGTGAAATCAATGATGCAAAAGTAGAGGGATTTAAAATTAAAAACTACACAGAAAATACATACTATTATAAATCACCTTTTTTAAAGTTTCTTTTCTAAAATACCATAGGCCTAGGAAATTTTGCAGAACAGGCTAGAGAGGCAGTGCATGCTAAGTTTAAATTTACCTGGAAAAGATATAAAGTCATCATAGAACATAGTAAATATGGAGGAAATTTATAAAAAGCTGTTAATCTTAACACAAGAAGAATCAAACAATAATATCTGTTTTGATCTGTGTTGTAGTCTTTTTGTTGTAAAATATATCATAGGAAGACCAAAGATTTTTTATTGTTTATTATTTATCTACATTACTCTAAATTTTTGTATATCTATACCAGTCTCAAATGAAGATGAATTAAAAAGGTGGTAATTGAAGCTTGGGAACAGCAATACTCTAATGAAACCACCTTGGGGAATAAGATTTCTGGATTTTTTTAAGGCTACCTTAAATAAAATCAAAATTCATCATTAGATTTCAAACTTCGTCATAAAATCTTTTCGAGTTAAGAACCGGTGATTGTGTAAAGAATAACCTATCACCTCCCCAAATTAAATGGATTTTATTTAAATTTTTTTCTTGTTACCTAGCACAGGATTTCGATTTTAAACTAAGTTGTTTTCAATTAAAATATATATAAATAGAAACTGATATATATTAGTAGAGACTAAACTAACATATATATGTAGAGACTAAATAAATCAGAATTTTTTAATTGACAAAAACATTAACCTGGCGGTCAAATTTCAGAGCAGTGAACTTGATAGTTAGACGGTAACTTTGCACTTGTTATTTAATAACTTAGTTCACTAACTATAAAAATATTTTCTTTATTTCCAAATTTTTTTTTTTTTTTGCACAAGATAGGTAAAACAATCAAGAAACCAAATTTTTTCCAGTGCTAACCTGCATTTAAATGGAATTTTCCTTTTATTAGGTGAGTTGCATTCAATAAGAAGCCATGCCCCAATAATAATTACTTAAATTACTAAAACTAAATTTACATGATAGTTACTTCAATTAATTTAAAATTATTCCCACCACTCCTAGTAATATTGAATAAATGCAAATATAATAAAGCATACTTTAAAAAATTTCTAAATTTCAAATGTTAAAAATTTTTTTTCTAATATCAAATTTTTTTTTTAATTTAATTCACTCCTTCTTCGGAGTGAATTAAATTAAAAAAAAATTTGGTTCTATGTTCTAGTTTCAATAGTAAAATAACCATAAATATTTATGTGTTAAAATTATTCAAACTATATTTTTTCAAGTGTGATACTGTAATTAAATAAATTATAGAATTTCTATAAAAGTTAATAAAACTTTATTTATCTTTATCTCTGTCTATTCAAAAAATTATTATTTATAACTTATTTAAAATCATTTTTGATAAATCATAAAAGTATAACTAACCTGCATTATATTTACAATGTCAAATGTGTTTTTTTTAATTTCTTTTTGTGTGGAGGTTATTAGCTCTCTATTTCCCTTTAAAAGATGTTGTTGTTTAAAAGCAATTTCTGTTTGTTGTTTGTTATCTAAGTTTGTTTGTTTGCTTGTTATCTGTTTGGCATCTGAGTTTGAAGATCTTACTGTTTGAGCTTTATTAAACTAAATAAAAATTATATATATCAAAAAAAACTTTCAAATGATAATATTTGGCATTTTTGTCACATTAATTATATTTCTTTTAAAGTAGTTATTTAAAAAAGCTATTTAAAATATTTAGACAAAGAAATTTTTTTAATATAAACATTTAGACAAAGATAAAGTTTAAAATATAAAAACTTTAGACAAAGATAAAACCTACAATATAAAACAGTTTGACAAAGATAAAGCTTACAATATAAAACAGTTAGATAAAGATAAAGTCTACAATATAAAGCTGTTAGACAAAGATAAAGTTTCATATACAAAAACAAAGATAAAGTCTAAAACACAATTAATATTTTAAACTTTATCTTTGACTAAACTTTAAGAAAAATTGCTTTGTAAAAATTTAAAGTTTAAAATTTTGTATAAAAAGTAAATAAAAAAGATTCTTTGGTAATGACAACTGGTTCTATAACATTGTCTGCTTTTGATAAAAAAAAGTTCTGCAAAAAAGTTTTAAACCATATGCTATAAAGATATGCAAAACTAGTAAGCAATTGCTTACTATAAAATATAAATATGCTATAGTAGATATAAATAAATAAATATAAATGTATATATATAAATATATATTCACACACACACACACACACACACACACACACACACACACACACACACACACACACACACACACACACACACAGATATATATATATATATATATATATATATATATATATATATATATATATACATATAAATATACATATATATATGTGTGTGTATATATATATATATGTATGTATGTATATATATATATATATATATACATATATATATATGCGTGTGTATATATATATATATATATATATGTATGTATATATATATATATATATATATATATATATATATATATATATATACATATATATATGTGTGTGTATATATATATATGTATATATATATATATATATATATATATATATATATATATATATATATATATATATATATATATATTTATAAATATATATATACACCTATTTATATACAGTCTTTGAATTAGAAAAAATGGGGTCGGCAATTTTTGGCCCATTTTAAATATTAGAGGTTGGTATCAGGTCAGCAAAAAAAATTTCAAACAAAGGTTTTATCATAAAACAAGGTTGGCACTTTCTTGCTGATCTCAAACACTTTTATATTATCAGTTAGATAGGCATTTTTCTGTAGAAAATACCATTTTTAGACTTTTTGTGTAAGTAATAACTTGAGTTAAAACTTAAGAAATTTGTAATTTTGTGTACTTAAGGGGTTTACGCAAAGTTTGTGAATATGATTTTGCGTAACTTTAAACTTGAGCAAAACTTAAGCAAAGTTTATGCAAATTTACAATATTTAGGATATTGTCTGGGAAAAAAAGGAGTACGTAGAGAATGAAAATGTAAATAAGTGGTAAGCACCATGAAAAGAGGTAACCTTGGTAGGTGCTAAATTTGCAACAAATTGTATAACAGGTTTTCATGATAAATCAGTAGTGAATAATAATCTGAGAAGTCATTAAGTAGATGAATTAGTCAGAATGATGTCATTTATCAATATAAAAATACTAACAATATTACAATAATTATTACCATTAAATAACTGAGTTTTGCTTGGGTTAAAATTAAATCCAATGCAAGCCCCGAGCTGTCACATAAAAGAGGTCAGATTTAGCTGGTCAAAACTATCAAAACGATCTAATGCAAGCCCCGAGCTGTCACATAAGAGAGTTCAGATTTAGAATTAGCTTGTCAAAACTATTTAAAAGTGATGACTTTTTGTCATGACTGGAATCGAGAGCAAATTTACCACTTTGGATGAAATATTGGGAGATAAATAATGTAGATCAGAAAACAAAGATTTTATTTTCCAGCATGCAGCAATTGAGAGTCGAATTTAAAAAAATGTTCTTAGCAAAGAGTTCAGCCTTATCATTGAGAAACATAAAAACATCAGACTGATGTATTTGACTGATGTTAGACTGACTTTAGTTAATAACACTTTTGATGATTTCCTAAAAACCTAACTTCTGAAGTAAAATATGAGATTTAGTAAACCTTTATTTTTTTATTTCTGAATCACTCTAAACAAGGCTACAAGCAACCACTAATTAGTTGGGAGTTACTAGAAAAAAAATAATATAGTTATAGAGCAAGAAACACTTCTTTTTTTTTTAAAAAACATCTTTGCTTCCAAAAAAGGGTGCAAGCAACCACTAAATAGAGTTGGAAGTGACTAGAAGAGAAAAGATAAAGTTTATAAAGCAAGATATAGATTGAAAGATGACTTAAAAGATTACAAATTATATGAATCAGGATGAGAGAAAATGAAGGAAGCGAATTCCAAAGAACTGATGTTTAAGGAAAAATACTAGACAAATAAGAACTTTTGGAGCATCTAGAAACAGTCATTGAAAAAGGATGAGACTTAATTGAATGACAAGTAACACGAGAATGAATTTTAGTAGATGGCACAAAAGACGATAGCACTTTAGGGCAGTGTCCATTATAGTATTTGCAGAAAAGAGAAATAGAAGTAACATAACAATGATGTGATAATGGTTGGAAGTTGGATGCAAGAGCAGGTTCAACTATGTCTACATCGCATTTTTGCACCTTGTCTGAAAGAGAAAGGGCATCATTAGAAGATCTGCCCCAGATATGGCAACAGTATTCCATACAAAGAAAAATTTGAGATTTATAGAGATGAAGAATAGAATCTGGAATAAGAAAGTGTTGAGCAAAGTAAAGAGAAGCCACTTTAGCAGATACTAATTTTGCAATCGATTTAATATATGGTTTCCAAGAAAGATTGGAAGTAAGAGTTAATCCTAGAAGATGAAGAGTAGATGACTCATCTAGTATATTATCATTCATAAATAAAGGAAGATCTAAATTATTGCGATAATAATTGGCTGAAAAAAATTGCATTTTATCTGAATTAAAGTTCACCAGCCACTTTGAGCCCTATGTTGTAGCAGAAGTGAGATCATTTTCAAGCTCAAATGGCCCCACCAAGCAAACAGAGAGTGTTGACTTCTTATTTAGATAAAAATATATGGTGGTATCTTCAGCAAACAATTCCACAATAGATGTGAGAATATCTGGAAGATCCTTATTGTAAATTTAAAATAGTATATAGCCAAGGGTAAAACTTCGAGGAACCCCTGAAGTTACAGAATAAGAAGAAGAGTGCTGTCCATCAAGGACAACTTTTATACTACGATTGGAAAGGAAGGATTCAATAATCTTAAAGATGTTTCCAGATACACCATAAGAAGAAAGCTTATGGAGGAGGCCAGCATGCCAAGTATTATCAAAAGCTTTAGAAATGTCAAAAGTGCTAGTGTTAACCTCTCCACCTCTATGTAATGCACAATAAAACCTATCAGTTATTACTGTTAGCAAATCAGTTGTAGAATAAGAAGATCGAAATCCATATTGATCATCAGAAAGTAAATTATTAGATTCAAGATAAGAGATTAAGTGTTTGTTAACCTTTTAACATCGCTCATTTTTTCAGGTTTGACCACTCAGCATGCAGTATTTTTAGCTAAAGTTGTAGGTATATTAAAAATAAAATTTTATTATGTTATTACAATGTCTGAACCTTGAGTTAAATTCCTTCTGAAAGGCAAATGAGTATATTTATATAACTTATATAGATTGACACCATACCAATTATAAAATTTATACAGTATTGGTCTAAAAAACACTTTTTTTAATGTTTTACATAGCACTTTTTTCAATAAAGAGACAGAAACATTTATATAGGTAATGAAAATAAATTTATCAACATCTAATAAGCATATTTAAAAAGAATGAATAATATATACTCATAACTTTGCCAATTTGACTGCAAATTTTTCAAAATGTGAAAAAAAAAAAGTGCCATTAGAAATTTTTAACGGCACTTTTTTTTTCACATTTTGAATGTGAAAAAAAAAATTTGCAGTCAAATTGGCAAAATTATGAGTATATATTTAAGGAAATCAACTTTATTGTTTTGAAAATATATTGACACTAAGAACATAAAAATACATTTCTTGTGTTTAACCTTAACTAAATATAATTTTATTACATGTTCTTTAGTACTTTCTACATATAATTATACATAGATAATGTCTATAAAACAAGGTTGACAAGAAGTGTAAATAAAATTTTAGATTTTAAATCATCAGCTAAAACTAATTTCAACTTTATAAAGTTTGAAAAATAGAACAAAAATACATATACAATCATTAGAAACCAGTTATTTATCATAACAATCATTGTTTTTACTAATTTTGAGCTAATCAATAATATTTTTAACATGGCATTGTGTTAATCGGCAACCTCAGTAAGTCAAAATGTAACTTGTTTTCAAAGTTGTCACATCAGGTTATCCTGCAACTGTTGTCAGGTCAGGTTACCCTGCTACTGGTAACATGTAACCCAGTACAATCTGCTTCATGTCCTGTTGTCTTGTTGGATACACTTTTTTAGGCAAAGGCTAGGAGAAGTTAATTCTGACTTGAAACACCCCCTGCCTTGGGGCTCTTGGTTGAGTAAGGCTAGAGATGGTGTCTTGATAAAAATACTCATCTCGGGCAGATGTTACATGCATCTGGCTGCTGCCTTGTAAAAGGCCTCCTAGACAAAGACTTAAGGAGTAAACAGATTCTATCTGCTGACCAGCCTCGCACCCCTTCTTCATCTATGAGGCTGGCTCAGATTTATTTTTAATACATTGTTTCCACTTTAGGATGTTGAATCCTATATCTTCTTGACTCAATGCATGGATTTTACTTGTGTCTCTGTTTTTATGACTAGGCAACTCATTCTATTATCTCCTAATTAGATTACAGCTTTAAAACTCAGTTTTATAGTTCTGAGGCTGGCTGGTAGTCAGGTTTCCCAACCTCTCAGAGAGCCTGATTCCATCAACAGCTGAAAAACATCAAATTATTAACAGTGTCATGTTGTGCATGGATGGTG